GGGCTGGAAGTGGCCATAGCAGAGGAGGGAAGCATTGCCCGTTCTGCCTGGCGTGGCTGGCAGGATGCCCATGCTGGATGGGGATGTGGGGGAGAGCTCCTGGTTCCATTTGTTATTCCTGTTGGGAATCCCTGGAACCACAGCAGGTATGGGTGGGTGCTGACCCTAACACAGCCCCGTCCCTCGGGGGGCTCAGGGACCCCTCTGTGGGATGTGCCACTCGAGCTGTGCCCAAATGAAGCGTGGAGCTGAAAAAAAACCCCACAAGATGGCAACGCAAATCATCTGAATGCATTTATTCCATCACACACAGAGCCAGGTCCGAGCTCCTCACCTGCAGAAWTCCAGCTGAGCTGGTATCTCCTGTGTCATGTCCRTTTGTTCCACAGGGRTAGGGCAGGAATTACAGGACAGTGRGACTTTCCCCACGCCCTGCCCTCCCTCCTGCCCCGTGGCCATCACTAATATGCACATAAGAGTCAATTAGGCCGGCTGAGCGCACTGGTGACCTCTGATCCCTGCTGTGTCCCCCGATCCATTAACAGGCCCCGAGCCTTTCGCTCTCAGTATGAATTGATGTAGCATCCATTCTCTTGCAGCAAAGAAACATGCGTCCTCATTCAGCTGTCCATTTCCACTTTCTGTTCCTTTGTCCTGCCCTTCTGTTCCCTGTGTTACTAACCTGGTCACCACTTCTTGACCCCACATCCTCGTCCCTCCCAAGGGTGTTGTAATCCCAGCCACTACCAAAAAAACTTTTACTTTTTCCCCATTTACTCACATCTTATTTAGCAAAAAATGGTTTCCAGCAGTGTGGGAGCTTTGATCCCCTATTCAAGAAATCCTTGCAATGTTTTTTTAAAGACTTTCTTTCTAAGGCAAATGAATTCTTCATAAAGGGGGAAATGCTGTGCTGGTTGGGCTCTGTTCATCTGAGGAAGACAAATGATCTGTTTTATTACTTGAAAAGCATAACAGTTGAGTGTGTAGATTTGTGATTTATCTGTAATTAAGAATCCATTTGAGCAGCATATTAATTACAGAGAGGCGAATTAATTTTGCTGAGTAGAAAAGTAAAATCAAAGCCCCTTGAATTAGAAGGCAGCGTAAAATGCCTGAGGTTTTGTGGGGCTCTGCATTACACCTACACTGAGACAGGACAACTCTGGGGTACATTTGAGCTTTTTGACTTCTAAGTTTTAACCCTGGGTCAGAGAAATAAAGTCCAGGGGCTCAGAGACTTTTCCCTGCCCCTGCTGGTGGCTGCTCCCATTGTGCAGCACATGCTGCTCCCTTGCCTCAGGGACCCATCACCAGCAGCAAGGAAAAGGATCTCCAGGTTTGAAAGGTCCCTTGGCTGCTGAGAGGAGGCCAAGCCATRGCAGGGCAGCACCCGGAGGTGCAGAAACCATCAGAGATGCACTGGAGCAGGCAGAGAGGCTTTCTCTGGATGCTGAGCGCGTTTTGAAGTGTTTGGGYGCGGTGCATTGGCTCAGGACAGCAAACTGCTCTGTTCAGAGCTGTTCTGTTCATGGCTCACATCAAACCTTTTCACGGACTGGTGAAGATCCTCTGCGAGCACATCACGGACACCCCACGTCAGCTGGAGATGGGATCAACGCCACGGCACCTGGCACAGGGACTGCTCCAGCTCCAGACCACAGCAGGGAGCTGGCAACGCCTGCAAACAGCCYGGCCTCCCAAGGCAAGCACTCTCTGCATTCCTCAAACTCTGCCAGAGCCCCACCAAACCCTCTGCAAGGCTCCAAAGGCACTGCCCGTGCGCTGTCCCCAGGGAATGACAATGCTGTCGCTTGTGACCCATCCTGGCAGCTCCAGGACCGCAGGGAGCACAGTCCCGGTGTCAGCACAGTCCTGGGTGTCAGCACAGCCCCGGTGCCAGCACAGCCCTGCACTGCTGCTGCTGCCTTTCCTGGTGACATTCCCGCAGATCCGGCCATCTGGCTGGACTGGCAGAACGAGTCTGCAAAGCCACGCTCAGCCCGGGTGCTGTTGTGCAACCTTACATGTGCACACTCTCAGACTTTTTCAGATTCACCAAAATCGCTCAGCTGCATTTTGGTGTCCCTGGGGAGGCTGAGCCTCTGCCTTCAGGGCAAGCAGAACATCAGCTCTTTCACAGGGATGGCTTGGGACTTCCTTTGCTGCTGGCCTGTGAGAGTCCAGCCAGCACCAGAGCTGGCTTCAAATTAATTTGTGCTTCAAATCAAATGCAGCTTTGTCCCTGTGCCCTGCCAYGAAGGARGCTGCAGTTCACATGAARACACGCTGCTAAAGCCTCGTGGCARCCTGTGGATCCTCACGTGCGAGGAATTCCCTTATAAGCAGCTTTGAACTGTAAAATAATCACTCAGCCCTGTAAAACTGAATTGATCATAAATGAACTTTGTCATGGTTCTGCTGGTTCCTTTGCTCCGTAACAACTGTCTCACACACAAACACCACGTGCCTGACAGCAACAGGAGGGAAGAGGGATCTTCCAGGAGCTTCATTTGACATGACATGGCATTTTCCAGCAATTGAATGAGGCAATCATGGCAACTGCAGAAGCACAAACCCCACCCAGGGCTTCTCCAAGCAAGGTGAGCTCTAGCCAGGGACAGTCCCAGTCCCAGCCCCAGCCCCAGCCCAGCAGAGGYTGCTCTGAGAATTTTAGRAYGGTATTTGCCATCCAGAAAGRTATCCTCAGCCAGAGGTTAACCCCAAACCAGAGGAAACTCTCCCCCCACAAAGATACGTGTAGCATCCACAGCATCCTTAGCAGCCCATCCTGCTTTCCCTTTTCACAGATCCCGCTGCCCAGGGATGGGAAGTTTCAGCACACAAAACACTGTTGAGCAACCTCATAAATTCACACCTCTGGGGAAAGTACCATCTGTTATTAATCACTTGTTCTACTCRCATTATTGACTTTATCCTGTCTGCTTCATCACACTCTGCTCCATGGCAGTCACCTGCTCCATCTGTGTTTTCATTTGGATGAATCCTATGCCCTCTTCCCCCCTTTCTTTTTTGGCTCATTTCCCTCTTCCTTCACCAGGTCTCTCTCTAGTGGAATCAATTCTCAAATCCTCCTTTTCCCAAGGTTTTCACTTACCTTCTCTGCAGAGCTGTCTGCAGAGCAGCACCCGCCCTGGACCCTTTACCAAAGGGTTCTTAGCACCCCAAGCTCCATCCCTTCAGTCTGTGACTCTCCTACAGCTGGTGTAGATATCAAGCCCCAAAAGGTATTTCATCAGCTCAGCTGCAGCCTCTCATCTCGTGCCCCTTTCTCCCACCTACTTCCCACTGCCCTGTCCATTCCTCTGCAGGGCAAATTCAAACTGGTGCTGCTTTTGCATCAGCCAGGGAAAGCTAAATCCATTCACTTCACCAAAGTTCCACCCTTTTCCACTGCTGTGCTCAGAGTCACTCAGCTCTGTCAGCTCTTCACCATCTTCAAAAGGTTTTCAGCCCCTCCAGCACATTCTCCCACCTCCCCTCATGCTGCCACAGGCTCAGCATCCAAAACGGATGGGGCTTGGCTCTGGCAGTCCCCTCCTAACTGGTTTCTTTAGCACTCTGCTGCTGAAGGTAGCAGAGGATGAGGGAGAAACCGTGCTGGGCTGAGGGCAACATCATTAGGGCATTGTTAGGAGGGTGAGGACACAGATCTCCCCACTCCTGAGAGCCCCCTGGTATTTTGGGCTGCTACCTCAGGATTCAGGCAGGTGTAAATGGAGATGACCATTGCAAGGGACAGCAGCAGGGACATGCCACCTGTCCCTTTTGGCCTRACCTCTGCCAAACCACCACAGAAAATCACTGTGGAATTCACAGACCACACAGCAGCAAGGGGTTCAGAAGAAAGGGTGTTTAATTATGGTATACATTAAATTAAGTGTCATTCTGAGTATTGGTCTCCAATATCCTGATGGCTTATCCACCATAGGGCAGTTCCTGTCAGTCCCAGCAAGGGTGAGGGTCCCACTGTGYCACACAACTGAGCCAAAGAGCCTTTCTCAGCCCAAAGAAAGCATCCAGTGTTCTCCTCAGCAGTGGTTATCTCTGCTGCTGTCCCCCTCTCTAAACCCCTCTCAGCAGTTGGCACACGCTGCCCAGTTAATGAAAAATCAGCACAACTGGGGAGCAGTAAGTCCATTTACAGAGGAGCTGGTGTCTCACAGAGGGCAGACGATGCCTTTAACATCTTCCATGGCTTCAGGAGGCAGGATTGCAGGGCTTTGGTGTCTGTGCTCAGTGGGTGCCTGTGGGGCTGGATATGCCCTCCCTGCAGAGCTGGGATCATTCACAAGCTGGAGATATCACTGCAGAGYTTCCCATCCAGGAGCTGCTGCCAGCTGAGACAGGGCAGCAGMGTTCACACCACAGCCCCAATTCCATCCATCGGGGCACCACAAGGATGAGAGCTCAGCGAGGAGCCAACAAGGCTCATCAGCAGCTGCTGGAGGTGACAAGAAGCCACCAGTGGTGCCAGTCACTGGGCAGATGAGGCAGTAACCGGGCACCCAACCCCTTCTGTACCCCGAGGGGGGAGAAAAGAGAGGCAGGCTCTGAACCCCAGCTGGGGAAGATCCCAGCAGAATCCCTCGTGGCCTCATTGACTCTGTAGCAGCTCCAGGCTCACCTGGAAGCTGCCAACGTTTCCCAGCAAGCTGGACATGCTCACCAGGCTGCCGAGTCCTTCCCCACCCCACCAGAGCCCATCTCAGAGTCCCCAAAAGCAGGGAAGACCACTGAGATTGATTCCTAGAGGCCGTTGTCCCCACATGGATCATCCAGGTCCTGCCAGGGCTCCACTCAGCTCTCCCTGTGCCCTTCCTTCACTTGGGATGTCACCGTGCAGGGGACACGTGTCTGCCTGTCCTCCTGCCCACCAGAGCCCAGTGTCTTTGTCAGCATTGGAATTAACTCATTTAAAGGAAAAASAAAAATACAAAACCAAAACCATCCTCAGCTCTGACCTTTACCATAACAAAAAAAAAGGAAAAAGAGAAGATATTCAGGACCAATATATACAGATGGGGGGATTGCACTTAATTACAGTAGTTTACATCCATTGGACAAAATTTACTTCTTTTTTTATATAAATCTGTATGTATAGGAGTGGGGAGAGGGGAGGATGGAGCAGACTGTACCTATATTTACAGTTTAATTGGCTCAGTTCAACAACACATGCAACTCCTCCCTCCAAACGCCACGTAACAGACCCCGGTCCCTCTCCGTCCGCCGAGTGCAGGAGTTTAACTCAAACATGGTCCATCTTCCCCTCCTGCCACTTCCCARCACAGCCCGTTCCTCGCTCCTCGGGAGAGCCTCTTGGACGGCGAACACTTCAGAAAAAAAAAACATCCCCGAGACCAATCTTGGAAATACTGYGTGGAGGGAAGGAGAGGCGGGTCCGGGCGGTCCCGGCGGGCGCGGAGCCCCGAGCCCCGGCTCCGTGTGCGGCTCCTCGCTGCTGGGCTGCGCTCCGCTCCGGCGGGCGGCTCCCGGGCTCTGCGCGCAGCTCGCCGCCGGCATGTCGTGGAAAATGAGATCCCGTTGCTATGTGCAAAAGCAGCGAGGTGTAGAGCATCACCAGGCTTGCAGGGGACACTGGGGAGAGGAGAGAGAGCAGCGCAGTGAGCGGCAGGGGAAAGAGGTGTCACCTCCTGCACTTCCCCGTGACCTTGGTGCTGCCCCGATGGGGAGGCAATGGGAAAATGCTTTCTGAGMCAGCTATTGCCACCCCCTCCCAACAGGAATAATAAAAAAAAAAGGGTCTGTCTGTGCCCAGGCTGCTGCAGAGGTGGTGCCACGCAGCCCAGGAGCAGCCAGGCGTGAGGCTGAGCTC